CAATCTCCCCATTGGCACCAACCTTCTTCTTGAACACCCACTTGCAACCAATTGCTTTTCGGTCTGCAGGTAGATTCACCAAACTCCAAGTTTGGTTTTTCATCAGAGACTTCATCTCTTCTTTCATAGCTTCCTCCCACTGTTTGGCATCCTCCGAGCTCCTCGCATGTTTTACAGTGCTCGGATCATCACCTGTAATACTAAATGCACAAACATCATCACTAGCACACAGGATATAATTTTCAGGTGTATACCTCTCAGATGGTCTTCTTTCCCTCGTGGATCTCCTCAGCACTGGTGCTTCAACCTCAGCCTCAGTTTCAGAAAATTCATCCTCTACCTCATTATACTCAGCAGCTTCAGAATTCAAATTTTCCAATTCAATCTGTGAGTTTATTGTATCCTCTTTCAAACCCACATCCAACTCCACCGTCTGTGACTTTTCAGGAGCTTCAGGAAAAATCTGATTCAACTTAGATTCTCTGAATACAACGTCTCTGCTGTAAGTTACACTTCTAGTATCCGGATTCCACAACTTATAACCTTTGACGCCATCCTTGTACCCAATAAAGATACACTTTTCAGATTTACTGTCAAGCTTGTTTCTTTTCTCCTTGGGTACGTGCATATAAGCTTCACAGCCAAACACTCTGATATGAGATACGTCTGGCCTTTTTTTTAAACAGTGCTTCATACGGAGTCTTCTCCTTCAAAGCTGATGTAGGAGATCTGTTCTTCAGATAACAAGCAGTAGCCACTGCCTCTGCCCAAAACTCAGTTGCCAAGCCTGCACCGCTCAGCATACTCCGTGCTTTCTCCATGAGAGATCGATTCAACCTCTCTGCCACCCCATTCTGTTGAGGTGAGTAGGGCGTAGTCTTCTGTCTTACAATCCCATTTCTCGCACAAAACTGGTCAAATTTTGTTGAACATAACTCCCTTCCATTGTCAGTTCTCAGCACCTTGATTTTTTGATCAAATTGATTTTCCACCAAAGCCTTGAACTCGCAGAATTTATCGAACACTTCATCCTTGCTGCGCAAGAAATATAACCACACATATCTTGAAAAATCATCAGTAAAAGAAACATAATACCTTGATTTTCCATGTGATGCTACAGGTGTGGGGCCAAACACGTCGCTGTGTATCAAGTCCAGAACCCCCTCAGCTCTTCCTCCTATGGAATCAAAAGATACCCGATTTTGCTTCCCTTGCAGGCAATGCGCGCAAAATCCAAACCCCATAGAGCAGCTCGGAATTCCATCCACCAACTTCTTTGATGTTAGAGTCTCCAGACCTTTTCCTCCAATATGCCCCAGCCTCCTATGCCATAACATAGCAGTGTCCTCCTCCGCCTATTCTGAAACATAGCTTTCACCACTGAATACTGTGCTACCCAGCAGTTTCCACAATTTACCATGACGCTCTCCTCTTGCAATAACCAAAGCTCCTCGAGTCAGCTTGCAAGAATACTTGTCACTGCTAAAATTAATACCAGCATCTGCCATACTACCAACGGAGATCAGATTTCTGGTAAGCCCCGGAATATGCATCACACCCGGCAGATTCTTGACTGTCCCGTCACTCATCTTCAGCTTTACCTTCCCACGCCCCACAATTGCATGAGTCGTGTCATCTCCCATTCTAACTGTACCGCCAGAATACGATTCATAGGTGCAGAACCACTCCCTATGAGGTGTCATATGAAACGATGCTCCAGTGTCAATAATCCAATCATTACAGTCATTATGACTGTCAAACGCCATGTACAGGTCCCCTGTACTATCATCATCATCCTTCTTTGTACCCGAAGAAGACGGTTGTGAATCATCCCGCTTCTCAGGACCTATACTTTTACTTCTGCAATTCCTTCTCAGATGTCCAACCTTTTTGCACCTCCAGCACCTCATTTCAGATTTATCAGATTTATCATATTTATCACGGGACTTTGATCGTCCCCTCGATCTTCCTCTGTGACCAGACTTTGATTTGTCATCACTCCTCCCTCTAGCAACCAGAGCCTCATTGTTGGTACCTTCAGAACCTACCCTTCTCATCTCCTCAGACAATAAGGCAGCAACAACCGTCTCAAACGACAGTTTATTAACACTAGTACCAATTGACACAATGATGTGCTCCCAAGAGTTGGGCAGTGAACACAACAAGGTGCAAGCTTTGTCTTCCTCGTCCAGGTTAATGTCTATAGACGAAAGTTGTGCACAAATAGTATTAAATTCATTTAAATGAGCAGAGAAAGAATCACCTTCGCTCATCCGCAGATTATACAGCCTCCTTCGCAGGAACAGCTTGTTCACGAGTGACTTGCTCTGATAGAGACTTCCCAGCTTCGTCCAGAGATCCTTCGCGGTCTTCTCAGAAGTTACGTTCACCAGAACGTTATCAGCCAGGCATAACCAGATCAGGCTTCGCGCCTTTCGATCGTCTCTGGTCCACGCCTTCAACTCCTTCGACTCGCCATCACCTGACGTTTCTTCACCGACAGGTTTTGTTGGTACGGACGGCTTATCATCTTCGATAACGTACCACACGTCCCTGTCAACGAGCAGAGCCTCCGTCTTCAGCTTCCATAACTCGAACCCTTTTCCTCCGAACTTTTCAACCTCGACCCGTGATTGGCCAGTCGACATCCTCTCCAGATCAATTTCGCAGTTTTATCTATGCCAAGAAAAAACCCTAAATCGCGAAACCCCAATCTGTTACAGGAACCCTGGTCGCGGAACCAAAGCTCTGATACCAATTGTTGGAAATCGACAATCACACAGAATCGAGAAAACAGAAAAAGAGATAAGAGTAGAGAGATTGACACGATGATTTACCCTGGTTCACCCAATATAGGCTACGTCCAGCTTGTCTGTACTATATTCACCTCACCGCCACTCGTTACAAGTCTCTCGGTTTACAAGGCAAATATAAATAGGATTACAAAAAACCCTAACAGCAGCTATTCATGGGCCCAAGCCCAAACTGCTAAGAAAATTACAATAAAAACAGAGGCCTAAACATTACCTAGCCTCACCTGGGAGCGGGACCCCAGTTGCCTTTCTGCTGACCTCGACAATTAGGGCCAACATCATCATGTGAAGTATGAGCCATACCCAACAACTCTGTCAGATTGACCTGCGAGATATAGAAAATGAAGTGCTCGGAAGGCGGATCCAGGATTTGAAGCAACAACTTGAGCAAGCTTTGGACAAGAAAATCCAAGTTTTGGAGCGACTATGTGTGCGGGCAAAGAGAAAAAGAATTCAAAATTTTGAGCGACGACTCGTGCGGATATGTATGAAAATTCAAATTTTGAAACAAACTCTTGTGAAAGTGCTGAGCATGGAAATTCAATATTTGGAGTGGCGATTTGCGTGGACAAAGTTGAGCATTCAATCCGAAGAAAGAATGGAATTAGATGACGCATTTGATGATGAAGAAGAGGATGTCAATCCCTTGGAGATTCTAAACCAGGGACAAAATTGGGAAGTACAACCCAGAAATCAGTCCATTTTTCAAGATATCGAGATGCAAATCAGGATTCCTGAGTTTGAAGTCTATGATCATAATCCAGTTTGTGATGATGATTCGATCTATGATGATAATCTAATTTATGATGATTATCTGATTGTGGATAATTATCCCATTTATGATGATTATCGATCTTATGATGAAGATTCAGTTTATGATGATAATCTAGTCTATAATAAATCTGATGGTAAATCAGATTATGAAGATTTAATAGAGGAAGATTTATCATTTGAATTTTTGTCTAAAGAAATTGAGATCAGTGGAGATAAACAAGATTCAAGCACGAATCTTTTCCTAGCAGGGGAGAATGATGCACTTATAGTTGGCCCATTGTACATGGCCCAACCAATGATTCAAGAAACTCATAGTCAACTAGAATTGTGGCATAATAAGTATGGGTCAATTGTTGAAAGAAACAATGATTTGAAATATAACAAATTACAATTAAATTCAAGTCCGAGTAAAGTAGCAGATGTGATTGTGATTTTTTTTTTTATAACAGATTGTGATTTTTTTAGGAAGAAAAGGAAAGCAACATATTTGGCGTGATTTGAGATTAAAGATTTGAGATGTATTTTGAATTATTTATTTGTAATTTTTTATTTATTTTTAGATGTTAATTACTATTATATTTATTTTAGGAAGTTTTATTATTTTTGGAATTTTAGATTTAGAATTTTGAATCAATTTGTAATTAGTTTATAAAAGGGTGCTTATGACCCTTATTCTAGGAGTTGAATTTGTTATTTGATAATTGAAATTGAGAACCGGAGAGTTACTCTTTTGTGAAATTCCAACTTTCTGTTTAGCCACTTTTCTATGCGCTTTCGACGTCAAGTTTTTTAATCAATAGGTATCAATTAAATAGTATAGAAGATGGCCTTCCGATGTTAGCGAATTGGCAATGCTTGATTTACTTAGTTTTTCTTATGCTTCGTAAAAGAGATTCCGATTAAAAAAATAAAAATAAAAAACGAAAACTTGTTATCCTCTAAAATGTAATTTACATACTATTTACTTGTTATGTTAGAAAATGACTCAAATTGATAAATATACCTGCTAGGGGTCGAAATCCTTTTCGAGGACGCAACGAGGTTCTGCCTTTTGTATGTTACATTGTGTATTATTATGAAAAAAATCAAGAAATGTATTGGAGAGGTATAATATAAAAATCATTTATAATAAAAATCATTGATAGACTTTCCTTTCTAAACTTAAACTTTTGTGTTAAATTAACGCCTTACCTGATTCGTTATCACAGATTATATAATAGTGTTTCACTCAAAGATTATATTTTGGGGAGGGGAATTTGAATTTGATACTCTAAAAAATTAAAAAAAAAAAACAAGAGAGAGCATACAATTAATCATTATTACCACATTGTTTAAATCAAAACATCTATTTGTATCGCACCACCAAAAGTTCCAATAACTATAAACAAGCATAAAAGGTTATTGAGGATTCACTCAAACTAATAGTTTTGTAATGGCTAGAGCATTGCTACACAGCTCAGAGAAGTAGCAGTTTCGCTCGGTAAGAGGAGAGTTTGAAGCATTGTCATCGCTGAGCATGTCCTTGAAGCCATCCTCACATGTCTCAGCATCTGACATAGCAGCCGAGACCAATGTATCAACTGTGTCATATTCTCCATTGGCAAGTGCTTCTGCTGAGTCCTTCAAATTCTCTATGGCTTCTGAGTATTCCTCTACGCAGTCACTTAAGCAACTTGACGTGTAATTGTTATTGGTGCCACTGGCAGCAGAGGACTTCAGCTCATAAACATAGGACAAAGTCTTTGTAGCATATGTTGTGCTCAGATTTAATGCAATCTCAGCAAGCCCTTTGAGATGTGATGTCTTGCTACTAGGAACCGATCTTAAGGAAGAAACGCATGTTTGAAAATGAAGGGTGTGCTTGCAGGTTGCAGTAACAAAATCTTCTACCTCTTGTGTGTTTTGCAAAACAAAGCAATTCATCAGCAAGATTGGCAGAACCAGGATGTGATTCAGAGCTTTTCTTGATGCCATTTCTGTCCTTGATTGTGTTTAGGGGCTGTGAGGGTGTCATATATAAAGTTGAAACTTAACTAATATATTGACATACAAATTTAAAATAAATGTCTGTTAGCTACTGAGCCGTTTAATTAATTAATAAACAATGTGGATGCCAGGTTTGATTGCAAATAAAATAACACTTTTTTTTTTTTTGTGAGCGACCTTTCAATTATTTTGCTAGCTTTCTTTTTCTGATTGTCAGAATGGGTGCGTGGTTTATAGATCTAGATGGCTCTTTGCATTTGTTTTGTCTTATGATATAAAATAATACCTGCCATTCGGCTGCTAGAACTAACCTATACCACTTATTCATGGAAACTACTGAAAATTTTATTCAAAATGGGGTATTTTAAATTTATTTAGTTCTTGTAGTTTTCAAATAAAATAATCATAAAAAGAGAATCTCATAGTCCTTTTTTAAAGATGTTTTTTTGTAGATCGATTATTATTATTATTATTCTTTCACAAGATCACAAGGTGTTTTCATATACAAAGATGTAAGACTAGTTCCTGTCCAGATACAGGCCTATACCTTATTCACGAGGTGCTTCAATTAGAAATTGCACTACTGAATGGTATTGTATATTAGTAATAGAACTTAAGAAATTAGTCTTATAATAATGTTTATATGAAAACTTCAGTTAAAAATAATAAAAACTAGGGAAAAATGTTTATCCTTTTAAATGACACAACTTATATTCTTTCACTCTCACAAAGAAGTGGGACCTACACTTTTATTTTTTTTGTCAACTCTCTCTCCTTCTTTATCTATCTCTTTCTCTCTCTTAAAATGACATAACTTTACATCCTTTAAAATGACACACACTTTACCCTAAAAACTAACACAATAATATATAAGCAAGAGTTATATAAATTCAGTATGTATGAGTATTATTATTATAAATAATTTACATTAAGGGATTGTAATTCTTTCTTTTTTGGGCCTCTTGACCAAAGTGTTCAAGATATGATATATGATTCGATAACTCCGCCTAACTCAAAAAAAAAATATTTAAGGGAAATTTTAGATTTTAAAAATTAAAAAAAACAGCCTTGTTAGTTTCCCCTGCATTAGCAAGTATAAAAGATAAAAAAATTATCTACATCTCATAGTACTGACTAAACATCTTTACCGGTAGGAACATATATTTTTCTTGTATAATTATATTTTCTTTAGCACTTGGTTATACTTATACAATGCTATGCAAGTTTTTTCCCACCCAACTGTAGTTAGTTCAAGATTACAATTCAAGATTAAATTTTTTGTTTATGGTAAGAAAAATAAGAAAAATAAAAAGTAAAGATTACAATTCATCAAAATGAGCAACATCATCAATTAACACGAAAAGCACATGTGTATTTCCCACCGTGCTTAACAATATGTAGCACATGTCATTTGGCTCAAGCATTCAACTCTACTCAACTGGCATGGATGGAAGGAAGTTCCATTTGAAGAAAACCGTTTGTTTAATTATAGTACAAGCCCTGAACAGCTGGCACACTTGAGCTCTGGACCCAATTTCCTTTCAAGAAAGAACTTACAGTGTACTTTGTAGCCTCTTCCTTGTTAATGACTTTGTAGCCTTGCCACTTGACCCTAGCAGTGGTGCTTGCACCAGGTCCTGTGTTGTTGTACTCTGCATAATACAGTGTATTGAGTGCAAAGTCACCTGCCCAAGCTGTCCATCCATCAGGGTGAATCAAATCACCTATTTCTGATTCCATAACAATGGTTCTTGAGTACTCCTTCCAAGGCCTACCAAGGTAGCTCCTGATTTTGTCTTTAACAGGAACCAATGAGTCATCAGCTTTAATGGTACATTTTTGAAGAACAATTCCAGTGGCTTGTTGCTTGTCCATTCTCCCTTGAGCAGTTACCATGTTCTGCTGATTGTCCAATGGTTTCCTAACAACCATGATACAGTTCTGGAACACAGAAGCTGCATCACCAAAGATGAAATCAATGGTTCCTGAAATGATACAACTGCGGTAGAATTGTCTATGGGTTTGTGCATATAGGGTGTCTTGGTAACCCTCAAAGCGACAGTTTGAAAACACTGCACGATCTGCTTGAACTCTTGCAGCCACTGCTTGATGCCCTTCAGGACCAGCAGTGTTTCTGAATCCCATTGCTAGGCCAACGAATCCATCTCCTAGTACCACTGCACCATTCATAGCAAAAAAAGACTCAATATATATATTATTATGTAAATAAACTTGGGATACACCATCCCAAAAGCTAGCTCAAAGGATAAGAATGTCCAAAGTCTTATAAAGATCACATTAGTTGCACATACAACCAATGTGAGACTATATATCTTAACACGCCCCCTCACATGAGAGCACATTGGGCTAGAAGCGTGGATATTGCACAGGTCTAATTTTTAGTTTACCTTTTTGTGCTTTTATTTTAATTCCACTTTAAAGTGGGGGTGAGGGTCGAACTTGTGACCTTATAGTCACTCAAGTTCTGATACCATGTAAAGAACTTTGAAATACACCACTCCAAAAGCCAGTCAAGGCGTTATAAAGTCCACTTAGTTGGCACATATAAACATAGTACTTTTGTGTTTTTTTATCAATAGAGTTTAGTTTTTGATTTACCAAAACTTGCAGTTTGGAAAGTCCTGACTCCGTCCCTAAAGTTTTTGTTGCCAGTGATGATACTCTTTTGTGATCCATCACCATACATGGTTACATTTTGCATTTCCCTTGCTACTGTCACTGTCTCATCGTATACTCCTTCTTTAACATAAACCACATACCTGCATTAAAAATATACCTTAATTACATGATCAAACATTTATATATATATAATAATAATAATGCGACTTAGCTTATTATTATCAATAGTTTAGTAAAAAAGGTAGAGGGGAGAGGAGTTAGAGGAGCATACCGTCCTTGATAGTTTTTAGGGATGGCTGCTAAAGCTTCAGAGATGGTTTTGAAGTCACCACTGCCATCTTTTGCAACAATGACATTAGGTTTAGGTTTGTTATCAACAGCCTTCAATATCCTTCGGTCCTCGGGGTTCATCCAAGAAGGAAGGCCATCGATTTTGTCCAAAGAAGCAACTAGGGAGTTTGAATTCTCTGAAAGCAAGGAACGACTACGTGCAAATGTTTGGAATGTAGAAAGGAATGAGGTCACTTGAGACACAATGGCAAGTGAATTGCTAACGAATTCCTTGGAATCCTTGAAGAGATTTTCAAGATCAGTCTTCAATTTTCCTTCAGGGAAACCATCAACACAGGTTTGTTGGAAAGAGATGACAGCACTGAGCCAACTGTTCAGATCAGGAGTTTTTGAGGAAAGTTTCTTGAAATCAATTTTGCTAAGTTCAGAGATGGATGTTTCTAAATCATCCTTGGCATCCTGAAATAGCTGCTTGCAATCTTCAAAAGCTCCTTTCTCTTCCTCAGATTGAAACTTGAATGAGTTGGTTTTATTGAAGGCCTTGTTAACCTCATCCTCAGCAAATTTGACATAGATTTTGAGAAGGTCTTTGGGATGTGTGAGTTTAGGGTCATCCTGCACTGCCTTGTTAAGTGGACCTTCACATTTGTCTTTGTAATCTGCGGAGCTGCATACCAATGTCACAATCTTTTCAGAATGTGAAACGTGCTCATGCTTGTTGCTGGTGGAAGAAGTTGGAGCATTTTTCTCATCCTTACCAAAGCCATATTTAGTGGCAGCAACAAAGAATGCAGCACCAATGAGACCAACAAGGACAACGGAAGAAACAACAATAATGAGGATCTTCTTCCTCAGCTTTTGTTTCTTCTCATTTCTTCGCCGTTCTGAGATGAGGTCGAAATCCTGAAATGCCATTTGGGAAAGTTTTTTTTTTTTTTTTTTCTCTCTCTCTAAGGCAGAGGTGTCTCTGCCTTAGGTTCAAATCAGTCACGGAGAAGAGAGATAGAAAGATATCCAAGGATGGCTAATCCTTTCCAACTTGGTTTTGTTTCATCATATTTGGAACTTTAATGTAGTTTGTTTGCATGGAGAGTGGACGAGAGACATTTCAGGTATTTCTATTTTAGAAACCTCGTACATGGTTCCAAATAAATAGGTCATAACTTCTTTTCTTCAAATTCAAACCTTATTTCTTGCCAACTTCTTCAATATCCTTCTCTCCTTTTTTTCCTAAGGATGGGAGTTAACAAACCCAAAACTAGGACGAAGCTATATCTGAAAAGTAACAATTTGTTTTATATATCTTTGTTATTTTGATTCACTCTTCCTCTTAAAAATAAGCCGTTCGTCCAATCTAAGATTATGTTGTGTCTTAAAACTGATCCTACATTTCGGTGAAAACATCCAAGTGTGCATGGCATTGACCAAGGAAACATTATAACTGACCTTTTTTTATAAAATTCCCTACCCTCATCAATTGAGTCAACAATAATGAGAAAGTCTTATGTAAAATTATCTTGTATATTTTATAACATACCCCGTTCATTGAGTCAGCAAGTAGAATATGTAAGCCACTTGACTTGGTCCACAAGCCTGACAAATTCTCACATGTGGAGATTCCATTTTACTATATAGAATTCAGTCACGAAGTTGGTTTGCATATTGTCTGTTGGAAAATGTTTCTTGAGTGAATAAGAGTTTATAAAAGTTTTGAAGTTTAAAACTATAAAAATATGAATTTATTTGTATAAGTATGTATAAATTACTCTTATCAAACAAGACCAATAGAATTAAAACATTGGTTTGGTTTGAGCGCCATATAAAATAGCTTTTATAAATGTTGATAATAATTTTTTTAACAGGTATCTTGGCCTAGACAATTCATATCTATAATGTGCACCCTAAAATAATGCTATCTATAATTTATTAATTTAATAATTTGTATAAAAGTACTATTTAATTATATATTACGGTTACATTATCAAATTCTAACAATATTAGTAATTGGCGAAGTTGAACGTTATTTTATTTAATATTAACTAACTGAAGGAAATTACTTTTCTCATAGATTTTCTTGTAGTCAAAAAGTGTTACTACTCATGAGATTAGTTTATTTTTTTTATATAAGATAGTGTTATAGCTCAATTAAAAAATTATAATGATAAAAGATGAGTATAATTCTAGAATAAATTAAAATTACAAAAATACATTTTATTCACCCAAAATGACATTGTTTTGATCTCACATCTCCATTGACTAGACCATATATATATAATGTAAAAAGGAAAGTGTTTCGGTTCGATCTCCACAGTATATGCCACCTTTAATTTGGGTGGGGCTTAAAATTTTTATCTACTCGTCCTGTACTTTGGATTACTCTAAGAGCTAGCTCAAAAAGTCAAAACTTATTGGTGTACCGGGGGAGCTTACTCGTTTCAAAGAAGTAATTAGAGTATATTAAAAAAAAAAAATCTTTCTTTCTAATAAAAGTTGAAAGGCCAGCTGAATTGTATAAAGTTCTCATGTAGAATTTGTTAAATAAATATTGGGTTCGTTTTTTCTGCAGTTACTGCAGATAATTTATCTGCAGTAAGCTAATACGACGTTGTTTTAGGGCAGAAATCATGGTATTTTTGTAATTTTAATTTATTTCAGGGTTATACTAGTCTTTATATTCATAATTTTTTAAGATTTCAATACCAAAACGACGTCGTTTTAGGAATAAATGCAGATAACTTATCTGCATTAACTGCAGAAACATTTTTCCCATAAATATTAGAGAAATATCTCTTTTTCTTAAAAAAAATATTATACCGAAAAAATTGTAAATGGAAGGATACATAAATTTAATATTTTAAAATTTTGAGTTTAGTTTTATGCATTGTGATAATCTCCTGAACATGAGCTCCATAACCGTATAAATGCGATATCACAACAATATGATCATTGCACATGTGCACTCATGTAACTATCATTCAATTCATTATTAATCAATCTGAAACTTTTGCACTTGCACTTGAATTCTCATGCCATATCTGTTTCAAAATTATAAATTCACAAGTAACGATTCTTTTGTAATCCTTTATTTTGATTCACTCTTCGACCTAAAAGTATGCTGTTTGTCCAATATCTAAGATTATGTGAAAACGTCAAAATGTGTGCCGTCCATCCCACTCACCAAGGAAGGGTTATATATAACGACCTGTTTTATAACATACACCATCCATTCAGTCAACAATGAGAAAGACTTATCTAAAATTACCTCGTATTTTTTTAACAAACTGGCATAATTGTACTCTCTTTTTTCTTTTTTGGTAAATTAATTGTACTCTCTTTTAAGACAAAGAAATGTGTATGAGTTTTAAAAATATTTGAAGAAGGCCATGACTATGAGTTAATGTAATGGTTGAGAGTATTTTACGTAGAGTAATAATCATGTAAGAATTACTCAACTTTATTGTGCTTTCGTTTTTTCAGCATAGTGCAGAAAAATCACACTTGAGCGAATTATTAGGTTTTACTCTTTAGTTGGTAGGTAATATATAATCCTATCATAAATTTTCATTGAGAGTGTGTATCTTCCCCTCATCCAAACTTTTTTTATCTTATGCATGATAAAAACATTAAACTTTTGAGAATATTATACAAATATTAAAACATAAGTTTTCAACTTTTCACGGCACATAACCTTAGAACTTAGAGCTCGTTTGTTTCTCCTTTTGAAAAAAGTAACTTTTGAGACTTCCTTATTTTAGAAGTTCTTTTTACAAAAGTTAAAGCTATTTATATTTTTATAAAAATATTTAGTTTTTGAAAAAAATATTTAGCTTTTGACTTCTGCTTTTTTTAGAAGTTAAAATTTTTAGCTTCTGGGAAAAGTAAGTTTTTAATTTTTTTTGTGACTTCTGCTTATTTAAAAGCAGACATCCAAATAAACTAAAACTGAGAAGTGCTTTTTTTCAAGAAAAAAAAGTAACTTTTGGAGAAAAAAAAGCCCATCCAAACGGGCCTTTAATCATATTAAAATAAGCCATGCGGCTTTTTATTTTACATTAGTAAAGACAAATGGAACAAGCTAAAGAAGCTATTTAGTTTGTCTCTTTTTGATTAAATGCCATCATCATAAGGCAAGGAAATACTCCGAAGCCAGTCATCACCACTACGAGCAATGAACTCTGAAACTGTGAAGTCATAGGCACTATCGTAATTCATTGAATGGAACCCAAGCCATTCTATTCGGTTTTGTATCCCTGCACCAGGCCCATAATTCTTATACTCTCCAAAATACAGTTTGTCAAACAAGACTTGATCAAGAGACCATTTTGTCCACCCCATTGGGTCAATAAAATCATCAATGTAGGACTCAAGGTAAACAGTACGGGAATAAGGCTTCCATGGCCTCCCAAGGTAGCTCTTGAAGCTGCCAATGTTGGAATCCAAATCTTTGTTAGCTAAAATAGAACAGTTTTGGATTGAGATGCCAGTGTCCTCATCAGGAGTGTCTCTGGACTGTGCAGTAATGACAGTGATTTGGCCAGGAAGTGGCATTCTGGACTCAATTTTACATGCTTGTAAAACCACAGCTGCATTCCCAAATATGAAATCTATGGTCCCATAAACGTCACACTCTCTATAGAATTGTCTAAAGGAGTGAACGTAAAGAGTGTCTTGGTAACCATGCATGGCACACCTGTAAAAAGCAGTCTTGTCTGCATTCACTCTCAATGCAACTGCTTGATGTTTCTCTGCCCCTGCTTTGTTCTCAAAACCTATATCACGTCCCAGAAAGCCTTCACCAGAGACCGCTGTAGAAATAAAAGAGGCAATGATCATACAATTGACATTTTGTACGTGGACATCTTTCATTTGCAAATTTCACAAAATATTCTAATCTATCCTTTCATATGTAAATTTTACATTAATTAGTTATGTGTCAATTTTGTATTTATCTCTGCTAGCTCTAACAAGCATTAATCTCCCCAAATAATTCTTTACAAGATAAGTGATTTGCCTGACTGATGTAACAATTTAAGTTTTTGGGTTGAAATAGTTTTTTCAATTTATAAGAAAATATAGACACAAAATCATTTAAAATTTACACATGAAAAGATTGTCAAAACTATAATAAATTAGTAATTAAGTAGTGTCATAGAGCAAAGGCATACTCAGATTTAATAGACAAAATCAAAGTGACCAATTCAAAAATGATGATCCACAATATCAATAGTTCCATAAAGGGTTTACCTAGAGTTGCAGATTTGAAAGTGGTCCAGCCACCATCCATGCTTCTGCTGCCGGTGATAACAGTGGCGTCACTTCCATCGCCAAACAGAGAAATATTGGTCTTATAACTTGGGATTTCAACATTTTCCTCGTAAATCCCTTCTTTGACATAGATCATTGTCCTATAAAAGCTGTTATTTGGAACAAATCTGATAGCTTCAGTGATGGTGCTAAAGTTTCCTGTTCCATCAGCAGCCACAACAAGCACTTCTTTAGGGTCGTGTTCCGTGCTTTGCAAGAAACGACGGTCTTTGCTTGACAACCATGTTGGAACACCCATCAAACGCCGGTTATGCTTGGGAACCCTTATCTCAGGCTTAGGGACCATTGAAAGAGAATTGCCGACATGCTTGTAAGTGTTGATCACAGAATTCACCAGAACTTGCTTCAGGGTACCCGAAGCATAATGTAGGCTTTCTAGGCATGTGTTCTTGTTGGTCAGTGCTGCACTGAGGTAGGTTCTTGCATCAATTAAATTTTTGGAGTTTGGGGAACTAATCCTTGATTGTGATCGTATTAAGGAAGCCAAGGTGGATTGGTGGAGTTCCCTACAGTCTTGGACTGCTCCTATTTTGTTTTCTATGATGTTTGGGTATCCAGCATTGATGAATTGATCAGATAGCTTTTTGGTTTCAGATATTGCTACTTGGAGTGACTGAAGAAGGTTGCTGTTGCTGTTGCTGTTGCTGCTGCCGTTGCTGTTAATGTTAATGTTGGTGCCTTCATGACTTACATGTATTGAGGTGGAATTATTATAGCAAACTTCAGAGTCTCGGGTAGTCACGCAGGAAGAATTTTGGCTATAAACGTAAGTATCAGATTCAGAGGAGTTGACAACCCAAGTATGTGAGAAGAGTATTGTTAAGAGAAGAAGGAAGAGTTTAGGAGATGAAGTAGCCATGGAATGGCAAGGAAGGAAAATAAGAAGAAGAAAAAGCTATTAAAATGTAATCACGAGTTGAAGAATTTCAGCATTTGGCTCCTTCAATTAATGCACTAGCTTGGTGGACATTGATTAGAATGTAAAACAACACGGACAATATATACACACACACACACTCGGAGTAGCACTCCCTATTTAACGTTTGAAACTTTCTCAAAACCAGCTTGTAATGCACGAAAATTAATATCTGCCATATTGATTCTCCGAGATTTCTGCTTTGGGTGGGTCCCCTGTTTTGTTTTCTACTTGAAGAAAGACAAACTTTTTATTATTGCCAACTAGAATCAGAATGAAGTTGCTATTAGAAGATGTTGTAAGTTACACTTTTAATATTGTGCTATTTATCGATCTCACCTATATCTAAGGGTTCAAATTTTTTAGTAATATAAATCATTTGGTACATCAATGGTCAAGATAGAGTGTAAGACTTATAATATATATATAATGTGGGTGTAAGAGATTAATTTGAGACAGGAATGACGTTGACTCCTTTTTGGGTCAAGTCTGTTTTGGTTTCTTATAGGTAGCAAGTGAAAATCATGCGATGATTGGTGCGCAACATCTGCTAATCAAAGGGATGTATGATGACAGTTTCACGTGGTGGAGCTCAACCGTTCAATACTTCAATTGCTGAGTTTCTGTGACACTGTCCAATTACTTCGTAATCAACTCTCATATATTCCCAGATTAATTAGTCAGAAACCAAGTATACAATTATGCCAAGGTTGTTTTCCATAGCATGTGTCATGTATACTTTTACTTTTATTTTTTAAAAATTTATGATATTATTCTTTACTTTTCTTTCAAATGGTGATAATATTGTATATATTCATACCATCAAGAATATTTTTGTCTATTAATTATACCCATTTTTTATTTTTTATTTTTTATTTATTTTTTTAATTTTATATATAATAATTTTTTTACTTGTCTCTTGGCTTGGATAATATCTTCAACACGCAAACAAAAAATGATATCTACGATTCACTCATTTCATAATTAGTGTATAATTGTATACTATTATTTGATTACATATATATTATTGCATTACAGAATTCTAATTAATTTAAATCATTAGTGGCGAAGTTAAATCAATTAATAAGAAAATTGAACGTTATTTTGTTCAATATCACTAACAGAAGGAAAATATTGTTCTCATATATTTTATTTTAGTTATAAATACTAGTAGGGATGTAAATGAGCTAGACGACCTAGAGCAGCCTACAACCTTATCTATATTTGGCCAAACTTGAACTATTATAAATAGTCAAATAAAATATGCCTAGGTTTTTAAAAAAACTTATTTAGAAAGCAGGTCATAAGCTTTTTTGTATATGTCGAGCCTATATCATATTATTTATTTTAAATAAAATTATTATTTTAATAATTTTGAATAATAAAAATATTTTTTTTATTTTTTTTAATTATTGAATGTTTAATAGGCTTAAACAGGCTAACAGAGTAACAGGCTTAGACCAATGCTTTAAATAGTTCAGGTCAGACTTGTAATTTAGATTTACACAAACTAATAGGTTAGGACAAACTTGAGATTTTTTACACAAATATAACCTATTTAAGTCAAAATCTAGAGTAACCTAACCTATCATAAAGTGATATTGTCATAACATTAACAATGCTAATGGGAATATCTGATTCTTTTTTTTGAAAAAAAAAATATCATAACTCAATTAATAGACATGTGAAATAGCTTTTTCTTTTTTACAAAAAAGGTATCTTTCTTTTCAATAAAAGCTGAACTGCAAGCTCAAGTAAAGAGTACTCGTATAAGATAAGCTCATGTCCAAAGTGCATAAAAAAAAGTGATCAAATAAAAAGTTAGGATTTCACAAAAGAGTAATTTTTTTATTCTCAATTTCTATTAACAAAATTTAACATCTATAATAAGGGTATTAAGCATCTTTTTATAGGTTAATTAATTGCAAATCAATTCAAAATCTCAAAATAAGGAAAATTCCTAAAAATAAATATAACAATGATTACCTTTTAAAATAAATACAATTAAATCTTTAAAATATGTTCCAAATTTTAGATCTCAAATCATGTCAAATTTATTGTTTTTCTTTTTTTTATCAAACAAATCACCATTTTGGACTTTAATTTGATCATAATTTAATATATTTCAACTTGCTGTTTTTTTAAACATGCAAATTATATTTATTGGGTCATAATTTTGGCTTAGTCCAAACTTCTTGAGTCAATAAGTTCACTGTAAGTGAATCATAAGATTATCAAAATTAGTGAAAAGTTGATTACATAAACCTTTTATGTTTTACTTTCTTTTCTTTTTTTGATACATATGTTTTACTTTCAACTTTGAGCATTTTGTTTAAGCTTTTTTTTCTTAAAGAAAGAAGTGTTTTTCAAATAAAAATCTTGTCTTAAAAAAATTATATGTTTTAAAAGAATAAAATAAAATTAAAGGGAGTTCTAGTATTTTTCTTAGAAAATAAAAAGTAATTTCTAAAACTACTAAAAACTATATCATTAAAATACTTTTTTTAAGTTTGAATAAACAAGTTCCTAACTATATATTTGCATGCCACTTGCCTCACATGGTGTTTATATAACTTAACCCATGTATAATTTTAGGGTTTGTTTTTTCTGATGTTACTTTAGATAACTTTATCTAATATTCATCAAAACAATGTCGTTTTGGGACGGAAATCATGGTATTTTTGTAATTTTAATTTATTTCAGGGTTATAATAGTCTTTATCACTCTAATTTTTTAATTTTTCAACCCAAAACGACGTCGTTTCGATGAACTTTAGATAAAGTTATCTAAAGTAACATCGGAAACTTTTTTCCCATAATTTTAACTATCGATTGGTCCTCAAATTCAGAAGCGCAAAGATGACACCCCCCCCCCCCCCCCCCAAACAAAAACATTCAGCTTACGCTCCTACATCATCACTAATAAACAATAAGTCACAAAATTCTCGAAAATAAAAATAAGACAGCTTACAGAAAAAATTGTAAACTAGATCATCTTCATAACAACGTCATTGGTTGTTATTTTCCTTGAACCTATCGTTGAGGGTAACAAATTGGGAAATACTCTTTTTTAGACAATTTATTCTTTGCGTAATTCGGTTTGTAAATGTATATTTAAAAGAAGTTAAAAAAAAACTTATAAAATGATTTTTATATTTATATATAATATATAAAGCTTCGTATGAATTTACTGAACCATTAAATATTGGCCGATAATAAAATCATTAAATAGAAAGCATACTGGCTGAAACGCTTGAGCGAATTTCTACTTCTATTCATGTAAGTCATGTGCAATATTCCCCATTTTGTCACATTGTTGTTTATTACGGCATTCATGCTGGTTCAATCATAAATTAGCACTCACCTTATACACAAGTTTTTAAGAACCCTGGCCCCCAAACTTAGTTTGGTGCTGGGCCCAGGAAGTGGAGGCCTAGAATTGCAACCAAATGGATCATATCATCAACTACCCTACTCTCTACCATGTAGTTTGTAGGGACTTCATTAGTACCAACTCATGATAAGTGATAACCATTTCTCACGCTTTGATTTGCCACCCTACCAAATAAACTCGTCCCACAAAGAAAATTTTGCCAGACTGATGTAGAGTTGATGAAGTTCATTAATATGCCTAGCTACAAAAATCTTAAGGGCCGTTTGTTAAACGGATTTTTTTCGGGTTATCGAGAAACTGAAATTTTTAAAATTTTAAATTTTCAGATATTATCGTAAACTGAATGTAAAAATTATATTTTTAAAAATCGAGATTCCCGGACAAATAAAAATTTCTCCTGTACCAAACGCCCTCTTAAATGACAAATTTCTCCTGTACCCTTCATAAATTAATGCGAAAGAGAATTTTTTTTAAAAGACAAATAATTATAAAATCTTGTGTCTATTTCTCTCTTAAAATGACATAATTTAAAATGACAAACACCAAACTCATATATATGAAAAAAGTGTTTGTCATTTTAAATGACATAAAGTTTTGTCATTTTAAGATAGAGATAGACACAAGAAAATATTTTTTATTTAAAATTTAAATTAAAAAAAAACCATCCACTTTCTCTCCCATGATTTTCATTCCTTGTGTCTATCTCTCTCTTAAAATAATATAACTTATGTCATTTAAAATGATCCTGACCCATATATATATATATATATATATATATATATATAGAGAGGTAGGATCCTTTGACACCGGTGTCAAATTTGAAATTTGACACCTCATCTGAGAGCCGTTAGATAAAAAAAGATCAATGGTGTCACATGCTCACAAATCAGAATCATTGATCTTTTTTGATCTAACAGCTCTCAGATGAGGTGTCAAATTTTAAATTTTAAATTTTAAATTTGACACCGGTGTCAAAGGATCCTGCCTCATATATATATATATATATATATATATATATATATATATATGTATATATATATTGACTTTATCATGTTGAGATTTACTTGAAAAAGGGTATTCTAATATATTATAGAATTGTAAATAATCTGTACAAAGGGTTCTCTATTTATAGAGAATATTTGACCTACTTTTAACCTAATGGGCTTGGCCCAATACAACAAAGGGCTTGGACCAATACAACAATAAATGACTAAATAAAAACTAAATCAATATTATTTACAACACTCCCCCTCAAGCTGAGGAATAAATATTTATCATTCCCAGCTTGCTAGTAAGTTCTTGAAATCTGTCTGAAGGAAGCCCCTTTGTTAATAGATCAGCCAATTGACGCCCAGTGGGAATGTATGGAGTGGTAATCAACCCGCTATCAAGTTTCTCTTTGATGAAATGGCGGTCAACCTCAATATGTTTAGTCCGATCATGTTGAACTGGATTATGAGCTATACAAATAGCGGACTTATTATCACATAGCAGCTTCATAGGTCCCTCACATTTTATTTTGAGATCATCAAGAACAATTTTCAGCCACAGTAACTCACAAATGCCTTGAGCCATAGCTCGAAATTCAGCTTCTGCACTTGATCTGGCAACCACATCTTGTTTCTTACTTCTCCATGTCACTAAGTTACCGCAAAGAAACATGCAATAACCAGTGGTAGAACGACGGTCAGTCACGGATCCAGCATAATCAGCATCTGTGTAGACTTCTAAAGATAGATTGCCATCACGTCGGAATAACAATCCTTTACCAGGAGTACCTTTAAGATACTGAAGAATTCTCTCTACTGCCTGCATATGTTTTTCTTTTGGATCGTGCATAAACTGACTGACAACACTAACAGCATAAGCTAGGTCTGGTCTAGTATGGGCCAGATATATCAATTTCCCAACTAGCCGTTGATATTGTCCTTTATCAACTGGAGGACTCTCTTCTTCGTAGCCCATTTTGTGATTCTGCTCAATAGGAGTATTAGAGGGTTTACACCCGAGCTTTCCTGCTTCTTTGAGAAGATCAAGAACATATTTCCTCTGGCTGATAAAAATTCCTTTGCTTGAATGAGCTACTTCTATCCCTAGGAAATATCTCAGTTTCCCAAGGTCTTTGATTTCAAACTCAGAGGCAAGCCGTGTTTGCAGAATCTGTCTCTCCACAAAATCATCACCTGTGATAATAATATCATCAACATATACAAGGAGCACAGTAAGCTTCCCATTTTGGGAGTGCTTGAAGAAAAGAGTGTGATCGTCTTGGCTCTGTCTGTATCCTAAGGTCATCATAACTTTAGTAAATCTTCCAAACCAAGCACGAGGTGACTGCTTCAATCCATACAAGGCCTTTTTTAATCTACAAACTTTATTTTCCCCTTCACAGAATCAAAACCAGGCGGGATTTCCATGTAGACTTCTTCTTCTAACTCACCATTGAGGAAAGCATTTTTCACATCAAATTGATTTATATCCCAATTGTAATGGGCAGCAAGGGATAACAAGATTCTCACTGTATTTATCTTTGCAACTGGAGCAAAGGTTTCTTCATAATCAATGTCATAGGTTTGAGTGTAACCTTTGGCCACTAATCGAGCCTTATATCTCTCAAGAGTGCCATCAGAATTATATTTCAGGGTATAAACCCATATGCACCCTACTGCTTTCTTTCCGTTGGGTCTATCAATAACCTCCCATGTTTTATTTTTCTCCAAAGCATTCATCTCCTCTTGCATGGCTTGAGCCCAATTCCTATCTTTCAAGGCTTCATGTACTGATTTTGGGATTGCAATAGAATCTAGTGCTGAAACAAAGCTTTTGTGCTGCACAGAAAGATTAGCAGAGGAAACAAAGTGGGAGATAGGGTATTGAGTACAAGAGGGACAGGAGGAACAAGTTTTCTTGTGACAAGATCTTTTTCCTTTTCTTAAGAGCAATAGGTAAGTCATCAGAAGTAGAAGCAATGGGTAAGTCATTAGAGATATCAGAAGAAATAGACAAATCATGAGAGGAAATAATATTAGAATCCGAAACAGGAGATTCAGAAGAAATAGGAGATTCAGGACTTACCAGTGGTTCAGACGATTGAGGTTGCTGGTGAGACAGTATGGGTTGTATCTCAGGTGTATTTGAAGGTTCTGACACACCAGGAGCAGACACACTAGGAAGAGAGAAGATTGATCCAGACTCAAAGAAGGAAGGGGACGAGTCTTCTGAAGAACTATTCTCCCCCTGACGATGAGGACCCAGGAAATAAGATTCAGATTCTTGAAAGGTGACATCCATAGAAACAAAAAATTTCCGACTTGGTGGATGATAACACTTGTACCCTTTTTTATAAGGGTTATAACCAAGGAAGACACACTTAAGAGCCCTAGGATCCAACTTACTCCGATGTTGTTTATGAACATGGACAAAGGCAACACATCCAAACACTCTTGGTGGAAGGCTCTGCAATATGGGAACAGAAGGAAAGAAGGAAGTCATGGAATGAATAAGACTGATATTGTTAAGGACCCGTGAAGGTAAACGGTTGATCAAAAAAGTTGCAGCTAATACTGCTTCTCCCCAATAAGAACTAGGAACAGATGTCTGAAAAAGTAGTGCTCTAGCAACTTCAAGAAGGTGACGATTTTTCCTTTCAGCAACCCCGTTTTGTTGAGGGGTATCAACACATGTGAGCTCATGAATCATACCTCTGTCTGAAATGAATTGTGACAGGCGTTGATTGACGTACTCAGTACCATTATCAGATCTGAGTCTTTTAATACCCTTACCAAACTGAGTCTCAACCATGTGATGAAACCGAATAAATATCTCTGGTACTTCAGACTTGTCTTTCATCAAGTATATCCATGTTATCCGAGTACAATCGTCAATAAAAGAAACAAACCACCTAGCACCTGAAACACTGTGCACTTTAGAAGGGCCCCAAACATCAGAATGGATAAGAGAAAAAGGTTCTCTGCTTTTAATAGTGCTAGAAGGAAATGACACTCGATGGTGTTTTGCAAATTCACAAACATCACAATGAAAGGTCTCAACCGACTTATTGAGAAACAGAGAGGGGAACATAGACTTCAAAAGACTAAATGGTGGATGCCCGAGACGCTTGTGATGGAGCCAAATCATAGACTCTGCAGTAGAAGGATGACGTGTCATTAATAACTGATTTTTGCTAGCATGGTCTGGAAGGAGATGATACAACTCATCCTGTTCATTAGCAACTCCAATTGTCTTCTTCGTGGTAAGATCCTGAATAAGACAATGAGAAGGAAAAAATGTGATAGAACAATTCAAATCAGTTGTAAGTTTTTGAGTGGAGATAAGATTAGTAGAAAGCTGAGGAACATAAAGAACATTTTTAAGAAACAAGGAAGGTTGAATTTGAATGTTACCAGAACCAATAACTGATTTATGGGATCCATCAGCTACGGATATAGTATGACTACCAACAGTAGGATGATAAGAACAAAATAACTCAGTACGACAAGCCATATGATCAGTTGCACCAGAATCCAAAATCCATGAGGTTTTAAAATCAGTGCAAGAAGCAAGAAGAGATATAGAACGTGTGCTCTTACCAGATAAGATCGAAGAACTATCATGCTCAGCCATTCTTTAACAAAAAAAGTTAACAACCAGCGATAAAATCAACCAAACAGAATATCAATTGACCTCTGATCAGAAAAATAATTACAGATCCAGACAGAAGACAAGAAGACGAGAAGAATGGTGGTGGTCCGGTCCAAAAACACGGCCGCACACGCCTCCACGCGCCGGAGAAAGGAGCTGCGCGTGGGATTCACTCGCCGGGAAAGGGGCGGCGCGTGAGAGCGCGTGGATGGGCTTCGCCGGCTGAGATTTTTCTGGTGTGGTCGTCCGGTGAGCGCACACCTGTCTGTGGGTGGTCGCGGTTGAAAAGTCGCCGGAAAGTGGTCCAAACGGTGAAGACAGATCTGATTGGAGGCGATCGGAGGTGTTTCGGTCGTTTGTGGCGGAGGAACACTGCGTAGAATGATAGATCGAAGGAAAAATAAGGTCAACAATGGTCCCCTTGGTCCAAAAGGTCCCCGGAAAAATTTTCCGGTGGCGGCTAATGGCGGCAAGAGGCAAAGAAATTAGGGTTTTGTTAAAAAAGAAGATAATATGTGCGGAAGCAAAGCCCTCAGATCGAGAGCTCTGATACCAACTTGAAAAAAAGGGTATTCTAATATATTATAGAATTGTAAATAATCTGTACAAAGGGTTCTCTATTTATAGAGAATATTTGACCTACTTTTAACCTAATGGGCTTGGCCCAATACAACAAAGGGCTTGGCCCAATACAACAATAAATGACTAAATAAAAACTAAATAATAACTAAATCAATATTATCTACAACAGATTTTGATATAAACTTCATGCGAAAAGTATTTATACTTTTAAATGACACAACTTATATTATTTTACTCTCAGAGAGAGGTGGAACCCACACCTTTACTTTTTTTGTCAATTCTCTTTCTCTATCTTAAAATGACACAACTTTACATCCTTTAAAATTAAAATGATACACACTTTTCCCAAACTTCATTCTCCAAAACAAAAAACACCCAACTCCCAAACCAAAACTAGGAAAATCTTTAATAATCAAGTAGTAATTACTTAAGGTGAACATCAATTTTTCTTTAATTTTTTTTCTTTGATATATAAAGAACCACCTGAACAACAACTTTGTAAGTACAAGAATGCCAAGACATGCATGTATGCATGAATTTGGCAGTTAATTTTAATCTGTGAATCCAGCAGTGTACGTTACACCTGTGGAAGGTAACCATAGATTCCCCTCAATAAACTGAGCCACCGTGAAGTTACTAGCTTGGGTAGAATCATTCAATGCATGGTACCCTGGCCATTTAACTCGGTTATCAAGACCAGCACCTAGTCCAGAGTTCATGTACTCAGCATAGTACAATGTGTCCAAAGCAAAATCTCCATTCCACTCTAGCCACCCTCGTGGCCTTATCACGTTACTCATGTAGGATTGCATGAAAATGGTTCGTGAATATGTCTTCCAGGGTCTGCCAAGGTATGTTTGAGTGGAGTTAATTGAAGGCAGAAGGTCAGAATCTGCAGAGATGTTGCAGAATTGGATGGAGAAACCAGTTGGTTCATTTGGGTCTTTTCTCCCATGAGCTGTGATTGTGTTCTTTTGATCTGGCAAGCCTTTCTTGGCTTGTATTATGCAGTTTTGGAACACAGCAGTGGCGTCTCCGAATATGAAATCAACTGTGCCACTGATTTTGCATTCTCTGTAGAATTGGCGCATGGTGTGAGTGTATAGGGTGTCTTGGTAACCAAAGATTCCACATCGGTAGAAGACTGAGAGGTCTGAGTCTGATCTTAGTGCTACTGCTTGGTGCTTCTCGGGCCCTGCAGTGTTCTGAAAGGTAATGTCTCGTGCTATGAACCCTCTGCCACTGACAGCTGCACATGCCCACACACAAGCACAAAGAAAAAGAAATTATAAAGGAGTGAAAATGAGAATTGGGTCTGTGATTTCAATTATTGTAGCACATGCTCATTTAATTATCACTTAGTTCCAGACATGGGTTATGTTAATGTTTAAATTTTAAGGCCCTACTGACTGTTAAATGTTGTGACTATATTTAAGCACTTTTAAATCTTGGGAGGTGATTGATTCCTCCTCATCAGAGTATCTATGACCCCTTCCATCCATGCAAAATCACTGCGGGGCGTTTGGTTCATGAAATTTTTTAGAATAGTAGAGAAATGTAATAGATAGAGAAATGATTGAAAAGATATATAAAGTGAGATAGGTAGAAAAATGTAAAAAAAAGTTGTTTGGTGGGGAAAAACTTTACTGAGAAAATTAGGTAACTTTATGAAATCAACAATGCATTAAAAGCCAGATAACCGGTTTTCCGAAAAATCCCACCTTCAAATTGGGTTTCTAAACAGTGCGAATATCTATGTTTCTCATAAATCCATACAAATTGGATAGATGAGTTTTTGGTGAAAATACGTTGAAACAAACATGGTGTTTCTAAAAACCATACTTGAGAAACATAGATATCCGCTGAAAAGCTCCTGACCAAAAGAGATACTAGTTAGTCGCAGACATGGATTATGTTGGTAATTAATAAGCCCCTATTATTGAGCGTATATTGAACACTTCTTAACCTATCAATATTTTTTAAGTTTTCCTTTCATGGATTACTTGATACTCAAATTTTTTAAATATTAAGATCTTGGTTAGTCGTAAAATATTTATCAATTACAAATATTTAATATAAATATCAATAATCAATAAATATCCAACAATGTTCATATTATTATTTTTTACGCCACCTATACCTAAATTTTTTTAAGATATAATAACAATTTCTTTTCTTTTTTTAAATGCGGATACCCTTCATTAGTTCTCAAAAAAAGTGAATTTTCAGCTCTTTAGAATAAAACGATAACCGATAACCAATAAATATTTAACAATTTATTAAAATATCATTCCCCACCGAAGGACAAAAAAAAGAAGTTAATAGCAAATCTCATGATACTCACCAAGGTAACCTTCCTAGTTAGAGATGTTTTATTTGGCCCATTACATATTTACATTCCTTTCATCATGATAGATATATGACGCGACCGCAGCATTTGGTTTACGATGATCATTAGACTGTGATTACGAAATGCATCTGTAGGTTCATATTAACTCGCAAGAGCCACCATTATGATGCAACCATAATTTAAAATATTGACAATATCTATTTTAATTTGGGAAAATTTTATAATTACAAATTTTTTGTTTATGAACTCTTACAAATTACACTAAGTATAATGGTCATACTTCAATCAAGAGTGTATGACCGGTCATATTTAGTGTAATTTATAAAAAAAAATTGTACACGGATCATTTCCCTTTTAGTTTTATAGTATTTTATTTTGAGAAAGTTATGTTAACAATTTTTTTTTTTACAAACTTACAATCTATATTATGTCTTAAAGTGATCTTACGGATAAGACATAGTATAGTTTGTAAATATAACTTTGTTGAGATATATAGTCCCACATTAGTTGAAGAGCAACTAATGTGGGAGTTTATAAGGCCTTAGGCACTCCTAGCCTTTGAGCTAGCTTTTGGGGTGGTGTATCCCAAGGTTCTTTACATGGTATCAGAGCCTCGCGGCCCCCCACTTTAAAGTGGAAGCACAAAAAGGTAAACCAAAGATTGGGACTGTTGCATAATCCACGCTTCAAGCCAAGAGTGCTCTTGCGTGAAGGGGCGTGTTCAGATATATAGTTCCACATTGGTTGCATGTGCAACTAATGTGGAGTTTATAAAGCCTTAGGCACTCCCACCCTTTGAGCTAGCTTTTGGGGTGGTGACCTCAAGGTTCTTTACATGGTATCATAGCCTCGCCGCTCCTCACTTTAAAGTGGAAGCACAAAAAGGTAAACCAAAGATTGGGACTGTTGCATAATCCACGCTTCAAGCCAAGAGTGCTCTTGCGTGAAGGGGCGTGTTCAGATATATAGTTCCACATTGGTTGCATGTGCAACTAATGTGGAGTTATAAGGCCTTAGGCACTCCCACCCTTTGAGCTAGCTTTTGGGGTGGTGTATCCCAAGGTTCTTTACATGGTATCAGAGCCTCGCGGCCCCCCACTTTAAAGTGGAAGCACAAAAAGGTAAACCAAAGATTGGGCGGCCTGTTGCATAATCCACGCTTCAAGCCAAGAGGGCTCTTGCGTGGGGGGCCGTGTTGAGATATATAGTCCCACATTGATTGTATGTGCAACTAATGTGGCCTTTATAAGCTAGCTTTTGGGGTAGTGTATCCCAAGGTTCTTTACAAACTTTTATCTTAATTTTTTTATTTTTTAAAAAAAAGTTTAAGAAGGAGAAAGAAGAGTGGTAGTGTGAGTGGTGTCTTCTTACCAAAGGTAGCTGATCGGAATGTGGTCCAACCGCCGATAAAACTCCGGTTACCGGAGATAATAGTGGCATCCATACCATCTCCAATCATCATGATGTTCCATTTCTTCTTCTTGATCTCAACATTCTCTATGTAAACACCTTTTTTTATGTATATCACATAACGTTTCATGCTATACTCAGGTGCTGCTTCCACCGCATCCATCACCTTCGTGTAGTTCCCAGTCCCATCAGCAGCTACAACAGCATCCACAGCCACCCCTTTTGCTTGTAGTAGCTTCCTATCCCCACCTTTAACCCACGAAGGAAATTCCCCTTCATTATTGGTTGAGAATTTATCCGAGACAGGGTGCACTTGTGTCAGAAGATGTTTCACCAACGACATAACTTGTCCAAGCCCAGTGGATACTAAACCTTTCACAATGCTATTTGTACCTTCGAATCCATCCATGCATGTCTCCGGATTCGCAAGCACAGCACTTAACCATGTTCTCAAATCAGAGCTCAGGTTCCCAGTACTATTATGCTTGCCTGTAACAATAATGATTAACACTATTTCAATTATGAAGGATCTATATATAGTGTTTCCAATTTGCATAGAACAGAGGAAACAGAGTAAAATAGTTTATTTATGGTACCTTTGGGAGTTTGAGTTGCGGAGACAGACCAGGTGAGTTCATCAGAGGACATGTCAAGCAAATCGAGGCAATCAGAAACGGCATGTGAAAGACGGAAGTCACCGAAGACACTGCTGAAACGCGACAAGATGGATGAAACTTGTCGTAAAACAGCAATAACTTCCCTAACAGAACCAACGAATTCTGAAGGAGAAACTTTGAGGCATGCTGATCCCACCAAATCACTGGGAGAAGCAGCATCCAATGGGGGGAACAGTCCAAGAAACAACATCATCAACAAGAAGATTGGTGTGATAATGGGTGTTGTGGATGAAGAAAGAGCCATTTGGAACAACAAAGTGTAATTGTGTTGCAAGGCAAATAAAAAAGAGGGAGAGATGTTGAGTATTTAAAGAAGGGGAAGGAAGAGAGATTGCCGTATTGGTAACGGGTGAGGGAATTAAAGAGGGTTGGCAAATGACAAAATGCAAAGGAAAGGTTTATAACACAAGAAAAAAGAGTGTCGGCGGTAACATAAACCCACCCATGCATGTCACTCTTACAAAGTAGTGTACAATCAAAAAATCCGTAAGGCAACATGTCCTTTGCACCTCACCCACTGTGACTACTACTACACGGCCTTCCAGTTCCACCAAATCAATTTGCTCAATCTACATGGACCGCTCTCTGTTTTTTATTTTCTCTTTAATGTTTGTCATCATATAAAATGAAAAAGAAAAAGAAAAGAAAGAGAGAGATAGAGAGAGAGAAGTTTTCACATGCTTGTCCAATGTACATATCCCTAGTAATTAGACAAAGGAGTATGGCAGGCTCAGGAATATGTTTTCATTTTTCTTTGTTCACGTCCTTTTCCGAGGCCAATAACTGTAGGCTGTAGGCAGGCCAAGATTTTGAATTCCGTGGTTTCAGTCACTTTAGCACTAGGTGCAGACACGCACTCTAGAATCATTAAAAAGTTAAAAAATATTCAACTCCTTCTATCTTACATAGGCGGATATATTGACTTGCACGGTTATATCATGTTAGTAAATAAGTTGATCGTCTGGGATCGATTTTGAAAGAAAAAATTATTTAATTTAATCGTTTCAGTTTGATCATGTAATTATTCATTCAGTTTAATTTTTTTTTTCAAATCCAATCCAATTTTTTTCGATTAGAATTTGATCGGTTTTCGATTTTTGAAAATCATAAAAATTATTTCATGATTATTTTACAAATAATATATACAAATGATTATTTTACAAATAATATCTTTTGTATATATTTTGGCTTTGTAAACTTTTTTTTTTGAAATACAAAAGTATTAGTAAACGATAATATAGTTTTTTTTTTTTGCAATGAGATATGAAACTTTACAACGATAAAATTTTGTTGATGAGATGTGACGATATTTTTCTTGAGTTTAGTTGATAAGTTAATGGGTCTTGGGTTTAGCAATTTTTGGGCTATGATTGAGGAAAGACTAAAGTAGGTAGAGAAAAATTAATATATTGGATCGATTTTCATCAACCAATCCAAAAATCGATCCAATTTAATTAAAATTTACAGTTTTTTTTTTTATTTTCAGTTTATTTGGCTATCGATTTTTCGGTTCGGTCACCGCGGTTTGAATCGGTTTGGATCGATTGATAAATACCTCTAGTAAGTATATTTTATTTCATGGATAAAATATTGGTTTGATACTTCTTCTTTATACATATAAAAGTGTATGGAGTTTATGTAAAAATAAAATCTAGGCCCGCATAATTTTGTATTTGTTGGATATAATTTTTAACTCTTGAGAAATATTAAACTCGTAAAATATTATTTCTTGAGCATCATGATTGCTTTCTTTAACGTCAATTTAGTTTTTGTTGACTATGAAATGCACCGCTTATTTTAAAAAAAAAAACTCTCGAGAATTTTAATATTAGTTCATAATGTAAGTAATTCATTTTTATAGATTACATCAAAGTTTCTTTTAAAACTGATTGAATTTTTTGGAGTATTTTCTTTAAAGACTGGCATTTTTATTTTTTTATTTTGAATTTGAATTCTTTTAATTTAAGTATGCACATTTCTTATATTTTTCAAAAAAATAATTTATATTTTGTATTTTACTAAATTTAATTATGTATATCGCTGTTATAATTTATATAATTATTAAAATATTTTTTCTTTTAATTTATGTTTTTTATATTTTACCTAAATAAAAAAATACACGTTGTATAGTTATTAGTAGATTACAGTATTTTGATAGACCTGTTATTAGAAATAGTTGAAACTTTCAAAATATTACCAATGGACCATTAGAAAAGGGGATTAATATTTCTTATATTATAAGAAATAAAATTTTTTTTTACATAAATATAAAAATATGTGAAGCCTATGTGAACTCATATAAAAAAATATAAATCTTGCATAATTTTATATATGTATAAGAGATAATTTTATTACCTTGTAAAAACACAAAATCCTTAGAAAAGTTGATACACCTTATTGTTGGACCATTAGAAAAGTTACCATTGAAACATTTAGGAAATTAATTCAATTAAAAAATAATTAAAAAAAATTTCAGTTGGTTCGAGACTTCGAGCCAACCGATTGACCGCGACAGTGCGTCGTGGATCTTGGTTTACCCAAAGCCTCCCTCCTTCACAATGTTTTAATATAAATTAAGTGAATAAATTATTTTATTAATTTTATTTTTAAACTATAATTTTATGAATAAAAAAAATACAATCCGACAGGCGAAGCTAAATCAATATCAACCATACGTAGTCAATTATGATTTGACCCACGTTTGATCTCATTCACGTCAAGTTTATCCGAATTCACACCCCTACCAACCTACTAATTAGTAAGGAAAATACTATTCTCATTTTACATGAGGTAGTTATCTTCTTTTCTTTTACTTCGAAAATCGTGCCTTTTTTTTCTTTTCTTTTTTTGCTTTTAAATAGCGGACCCTATTTGGATTCTCTCTGTAATATGAGAGAACTACTCTCATGTTACGTGGGAGTAATATTACCCAATTACTAAAGCACGGTACAAGCTATCAAATAGATTATTGGTAAATCTTATCTGATAAACGTCAATTATCATGTTTGGTAGAAGTAACAAAAAATCAGTTTTCAGATATTCAAAGTTTACCGGTAATTTAATTTACAAAGAAAAGTTACTACTCAGATTACCAAAAATAATATGGTAATTCAGAATTTCAAGTAAAGGAAAAGTACAAAAATAATTTTTGAGACAAAAATACCTCAACACACATCAAAACCTAGACCCAATCTATCAATTACAAAAGTAAAAATAGTTTGGGGTTATTTTTGTAAAATAACCTCATATTCCAAGTCATATTTCGTTCTAAACCAAACATGAAAATAGTAATCTTTACCCAATATTTCTGATAATATTTTGGTGAACCAAACACCTTTTTCGTAACATTCTGAGTAAACTCAATTTCTAGTGTATTCCTAGTAATCGTGATTCCCGAAGAAACCTCTAGAAATTACATCATTCCGCGTAAAGGGACTACTTTTTATTTTTATTATTATTATTATTATGAGAAATATAGCTCAAATGTAGGAGAAGGAGTTTTTTCTCCTACAATGAATTAACATTATTTATTTATTACGGGCATTGTATTGTTATAATTTTAACAGTTATTTTTTTTTTTCTTAAAAGGTTGTCAGTTGATGTTACGGAGAGAGAAAAATTAATTTTAACATTATAACTATGTAATTTTTATATTATACTCATAATACTTAGTGTTAATTCGTTGTTGGAAAAGTCTATAGGTTTGAGTTTGTGTCATAAATACGGACTGGTTCGGCCGATTGACCCAAAAATCAATGGATCAGATATGTCATTGACACGATATCAATTCGATGCAAATTGCATCCAATGTTATTAATCGCTACTATGATTTATATTTCAAAAAAAAAAAATATAACCTAATGATAAGTGTTATATTTGTTATTCTCAATGATGAAGCAAGTGGGGATTGAACTCTTGTTAGGGGAATATAAATTATAATACTTACCACTAGGCTACATTGAATTGTTTGTTAAATTGCACCATTAAAAATATATTATATAATTGAGTATAAATTATAAATATATATATTTATTCAGAACATGCGATTTAATTAGTGATCCACTGTTAAACTAATAATTCACTAAATCGATACCTTGACCGAGCCAATCACTTGTCGGAATTTAATAACATTGAACAGTACTATAACGTTAACGACCAAATTTCTCAAGTTAGTTCCAACCCAAAACAATAAATAAATAAGAAAATCCTAAAGTTGCATCAGTTGATTTTCAAAAGGTGCATGGTTACAGAATAATGCATTACTAAAACTAATTTTTTTAAATGTCATAGTGTCGGAAAAAGCTTGCCGTTCAAAAAAGAAAAAATTAAATAAAGAGATAGTATCGAATAATACTGAATCGTCAAAACTTTCACATTTTATCTTCAAATAAGTTAGATTTTGGTGTTCTACCACCGTAAAGAATATTTTTAAGATATGCTTGTTGGAGACAATTTTACATAATTGACAATGAAATTCTATGCCAACAAATCTAGCTACTGTAGAATTAAGATCTTACAAAAATGACAGATCATGCAGTCAATTTTTAGCAAAAGCATAAAGTGATTCAATAAAATGTAATTACATCCAATCAAACCAGATAGGATCTTCTCATTGAAACTATAAACCCTATCATATGAGGTCAGTAAAAGAATTTCCAAATCAACCAACAAGAAAAATCATCTAAGTCTCACATAGTGCATGCAAAAGCCTCCACAACAACTTCCCAAAGGTTAGATGCAAGAATCATTAAACAGTTAACCTCGATAACCACCGGATTTCACGGTAAAAGATATAATGCTAAAAAAAATACACCCCAAAAACCCATTTTCTTATCCTCAGCATAATATTGCACTTATAAATAAGTAAAGTAAAATTCGTCATCTATAAGTTTCTACACAAATGACGGATGTTTTTGAATCTCATCTCATGTAGATATAAGAATGATGCAAATGATATAATTAACAAAACTCAAATGCAACCTTTTTTCAATAGTACCGTATGCATAACTTATGAGTTAAGGTTATGTAAGATGCGTATCCACGATCTGATATATTAGAGAAACATCAAAGTCGGAGCTTTGATTCTCAGCACACAAGCACAGCCTCATCCCAACAAAAACAAAGAATGTAAAATGAAAGGGAAAAGGTTCCAAATGTGTCTTTCTCAAAAGCAATAAAAGCAAAAGCGACCTGCTTTACAGAAGATCTAATGCTACAAAAACAAAACGCGTTTACAGCTTGCTC